TTGGGGTGGGGATATAGCTTAGTGGTAGAGTGCTAGACTGGCATGTATAAGCCCCTGGATTTGACCCCTAGTACTATGAGAAGAAAAAAAAGAATATGCAATAAGTACCTCATATGTGTATTATACTTTATAGTTTGCATCTCACAACTCTAGAGGTAGCATATTATTTATTTATTTATTTAGTCTTTTTTTCATTTTTATCAGTACCGGGGATTGAACTCACGACCGCCTGCTTGCAAGGCAGGTGCTTATGCCGCTGAGCTAAACCCCCAGCTCCCGTAGCATATTATTTAAAATTTTTTTTGTCTTTTTTCTTTTTTATCAGTACCGGGGATCGAACTCACAACCACACACTTGCAAGGCAGGTGCTCATGCCATTGAGCTAAATCCCCAGCCCCATTATTTACAATTAAAAAAAAAATTACAGTTTTATTTATTTTTTGCTGTTAGTATTAGGGATCAAACTCATGACCTCATGCTTACCAGGCAAGCACTTGAGCCACTGAGCTAAATCTCCAGTCCCTATTTACAATTTTATAGGCTTTAGGTAACAAATCCAAAGAACCTGACTTAAGCAAGAAGAAGAATTTGGTAGAATAGTGTTTCTTAAATTTTAGTAATGTTCATTTTACTTTTTAATTTTTAAATCCTGGTTTAAAGGAAGAAAAAGCCCCTTTCTCAATGTTGACAAGTTATTTTTACCAAACTGTAACTTATATACATAAGCTCATTATGGTTATGGTGCTTATACAAATATAAATCAGAATAAATTAAACATCCACAAACTCAAAAACAATTCCACATTAATGACATTAATTTACTCTGATGACTGATATTTTGCTGACATATCACCCATGTAGGAAAAAAAGTAGGACAAATATAGCCCCAATCTAGTTTCTTTATATAATCTGCTTTGTAATTTAATTTAAAAAAAAAAACACATGGAAAGAGTGAATATGTTTGTCACACCAAAATCACGAAATAGTACTCATAATTTTAAGACTGCATATTCTTTCAAGATAATTTGACTTAACAGTTCACAAAAACTTTGCCAGAGAACATTCCTTTAATGTCAGTTTAATGAGCTGTGACTTGATATTTGATAAAACTGTCTTGTTCCCATTGTAGTTAAGTTAGTGTTACTGAAATCTGCATTAAATAAGTATCTAAATCAACTACTGCTGAAACCAGAAAGACAAAAAAATAAAATAAAATAAAATAATGTCTATACTTCAATTTCAATTATTACAGATGTTGAAAAGTGATCTTTAATCTGGAACTTTCTTTTGAGACTGTCCAAGGAAATAAGTAAATACCCGATGTCTCCTTTACATAACTAAAAGAAAAATGACATTAATCAATTGTTTCCAGAGGTTCAGTTTTTTTTTTTTTTTTTATTGTACTTGAAACATTAGGACCACTGTGAAACTTATTTTTGTCCTGCTGGGGTCCTGTTGGGGTTCATTCTGTATGAGAGCATATTTACTGGTTATTTGCTGTCTTTCCCTTATTAGCCTACAATAGCTAAAATAATAAATTGACTGATCAGTTTTAGCATTTAATGATGCCAAATTAAAAAAGCTAAACTTACTAAAAATTTAAAACATGTAGTTCTGCTTCAATTTTCTTAGTTATAAACATTACTACAAGAGCACTCTCTTTATAAGGATGGTTGTAAAAATTATGTGACTTTTGCCAGAAATATGTTGCAAAAAGTACCATAGTATATAAACAGGAATGCCAACCTTTAGTTATATTGCTATCAGACATGCACTGCAGCACAAGACAGAGGTGTAAGATGTGTAGGAGCAGAGGTCTTTTCCTTGCTGTCTATAGTAATTTTACCTCTTATGGTGGTTGAGCTCCAATTTAAACTATCAACCCAATTCACACAGCAAGAGTGATCTCTGAAAACATAAATCTGATCATAATGAGTAACTTTCTTGCTTAAAGCCTTCAATGCCTCCTCACTCTGTTAGGATTCAAACTAAGGTTCTTAATGAGGCTTACCTTTCCGATGTCACCTCAAGCAGAATCATTTAACTCCTTCCCTACTTCAGAATGGTATCTTGGTTTTACCTTTGTATAACAAGGCTCAATCAAATCTTATTTCTCCAAACTCAAAGGCAAATTCAGGGAAGAAGGGAATAGAAAGAAGCTGAATAGTGGGTATCAAAATACAACTAGACAGGAAGAATATATTCTAAAGTTCTACAGCACAGTAGGGAGACTGTAGTTCACAAATTATTATAAATTTTATTAAAAACTTATGTAACTCAATCGTACAGCACCTACCTGGAAAGTGCAAAGTCCTGAGTTAGATTCCTGGTACAAAACCAAAACAAAACCACCACCACCAACAACAACAAAAAACTAGAAGAGGCCTAGGGACGTAGCTTAGTGGTAGAGCACTTCCCTAGTATGTGCAAGGCCCTAGGTTCAATCCTCACATCCATTTTTTAAAAATATTTTAATAGCCCATGTTTGTGGTTTATAGTGATTACACGCATCATGGGAAGTTTGGTCCATGTACATAACACATCTTATTCTTTTCACTTCTCCTTCCCCTCCCTGTATCTCCCCTCTTTCCCAATCCATTTCTCTTCCAATTCAAATTTCTGGGCTTTGGGAAGTCTAAAGCTTGGCTGAATAAAATCACTGCTGCCTCTTGTGTAGCTCGATGCCTGCGGTGGGCTTGATGAGAGGGGAGTTTGAATGCTCTAAAAATCTGTTCTGTCTCCTAGAGGAAAGCTGTCTAATTTGAATATCACAGATAAGTGTTTTCAAAATCTTCCTGGTCCATTTGTGTCAATCTTCATAAATCCCACTTTTTAAAATTAAAGACTTAATTTTTTTCTTTTGGTACTGGGAATTGAATTTACAATCTCACACCTTCCAGGCAAGTGTGTGCTGCTGAGCTATATTCCCAGTCCCTAAAGACTTAAATTTTCACAGCAATTTTAGGTTGGAAGGGGAAAAAAAAGGGAGAAATGAAAACAAAACTTTTGTCAATAAGGAGGGGATAGAGGGAGCAAAGGGAAATGGGAAAAACAGAAGCAAGATATATCATGTACAAGGTCACATTCCCCATGATGAAGATGATCATTATGTATATCTAAAATGTACCAAGAAAAATTTAGAAAAAAAAAGGAAAAAATGCGCCTTTCGCGTCTATCCTTTCTCCTCCATACCTCCTCCCCTTCCATCAGCTGCCTGCACCCCTGTGTAGTTCATCATTGCTAGGGTTAAAGTCAATGCACTGGGGCTGGGGATTTAGCTCAGCGGCATAAGCGCCTACCTTGCAAGCAGGCAGTTGTGAGTTCGATCCCCGGTACCGATAAAAAGGACAAAAAAACAAGACAACAACAACAAAAAAGTCAATGAACTGACAATGACACACCATTAGCACCCTAAATTTATACTGTCTACATTAATGTAATCTATAATTGTTCTTTTAAGGACTACTTTTTTTTTTTTTTTTTTTTTTTTTTTTTTTAAACAGGGTCTCGTTATGTAGCTCAGATTGGCTTTGAACTCACTATGTAGTCTGGGCTGACCTGGAACTCTCAGTGATCCTCCTGTTTCAGCCTCCCAAGGGCTGGGATTACAAGCACGCACCACCACGTCTGGTTTAAAAACTTTATTATTATTATATTTTTTTTTTTGGTACCAGGGATCAAACACATGACAGTGTGCTTACCAGGCAGGTGCTTATGCCGCTGAGCTAATCCCCAGACATTAAAAACTATTTTTAAAAAGCTTTTTACAGAGGAAAACTCAACTATTCACTTAATGCTTAACGGCTAAAATACCTCTCACAGAAACTGGACGCAAGAAGATAATAAGATGGGGCCAGTGTTGACCTCAAACTTGCAAGCCAGGATTAAAGGGTATTTGTCTCGAATTCGGCAGTTCCCCGGACCCACCAATATATAAGGTTCTTCTATGTGAAATCATAGATCTAAGAAAAGTTTTGCTTGCTTGAGGAATTTATGTGAATTTTCCTTATACAACTGCATCAGTGAGTAGTATATGGTTTGCCATTTTTCACTGACTTCCCAATTTAAAGCCAATTTTTGGGTATGTGCTTAATTTTGGAACAAAAGGAATTTTCTGATCTGCACATCTGTATTTTTTTCGACCTTGGTCTTCTATATCTGTTCCTGACATAACAATTAATTTTACACTTCTTGTTCATCATATATTGTCTAAGCTGATTAAAATTTTCTACTAGCAAAAAGGAATTGATCGAACAAAAACACACAGCCAGCCGTCTGAGTGGCTGTTTTTTTTTTTTTTTTTTTTGGTGGCACTCTACACAGTGCCGGGTGTGTAGAATAAAATCCTCAGCGTTATTGTAAGAAGCCAGAAATGTTTCTCTTTGGGAGTGTAGTTCGCATTTGTATCATTACCGGAACATTTTCCATTTGTGTTAACCAGGTTTAAAACAGCTCGCTTAGGACATGGCTTATCTGGGTAGAGGTTCCGCCAGTCGCACTGAAAGATAAAGACAAACGAAGAAATCCAGAAATACTTCGCTTTTACATATGGTATAGGCTTTGACTCCGTCCCTGCGTCCCACCCCAACCCTGGCAAGGGTGATCTCGGGATCTCGGTCAGCAAAGGTGGCAGAAATCGGAATTGCCCCCAGATATGTGTACCATATACACAGGTCTTGTTTCTGACTGCCATGTTTATGGGAAAGAGTTGCTGAGTTGTGACCATGCTTGGAGTAGAAGCCGTCCCGGGAATCTTTCTGCAGGCGCGGCTTCTGTTATCGGAGTTCGATTGGCCCACCTGACCCCGCAGGAGTCGCGGCAAGGCGGGTTTGCTCCGCGCAATTGACGAGCTGCTGCTTCTGTCTTTCACACCCCTTACTTTTTTTTAGCCATAGCTATGGTTACCACGTCTCTCTCCGCCTCTCTCCACCTACCAAGAAGACGCCTGTTCATTGGTTTTCTGTCATCAAGGCGCTTCGTTATTGGTTCCTGGTGAAACCCGGCGCTCCCCCTTTTCCCTGTCTCCCCGGTCTCTTGAGGAGCCCGGGAAGGAGGCTCCGCTGGTGCCGCCGGGTCAGGGGCTGCCGGGACCGGGCTGCGGCAGTCGTTAGCGGGTCATGTCGGCCGCGCAGGGATGGGACAGGAACCGCCGGAGGGGAGGCGCGGCTGGCGCTGGTGGTGGAGGTAGCGGGGCCGGTGGGGGCAGTGGGAGCAGCGGGGGTCGGGGGACTGGCCAGCTCAACCGCTTCGTGCAGCTCTCCGGGCGGCCACATCTGCCAGGTGAGTCTCGGGACGGGGTCCTGACAGCTCGCGGGCACGGCAGGAAGGTGACTGCTGACTTGTCTTTTCTCCCCGGCTTTATTTTTCTTGGGAGAAGGCAAGACAGGCCCCGCGTATAGCAGAGGTACCAGGCGTCTGAGCAAAGAGAAGGTGTCTTTGAGGTCAGGGAGGAAGCCGGAGCACAAGGAAGAAAAGTATTTTTGCTCTGTTGAAAGCACTGTGCAGAGTTGTGTTTTCCTTTCAGAAGAGAGACCGCTGTCTCATTGACATTCCCAGATGTTTCGCTCAGTTGTTTTTCAATCTCCCCCTTCCGCAGTTTGATCTTGTGAAAGAAGGACATTGATGTCTAGCTGTGGAAAATTATTTGGAAAGGAGAGCTAAGTTAAGGATAGAAGGCGGAAGAGCATTCCAAGGAGTGATTTTGTGATAAACCACCTGCGTGTGTTAAGAGTTAGGAAGCCTGAAAGGGAAGAAGGGAGTGGTGGTGATGGTGTAGGGGTTGTTAGGAAGAGAAGGAACCAAGAGGATTAGGGAAAACTAGTTGAATTCTTCATATTTCGGATTATCCAGCGACAAAATGGATAAAATGGTGTCTAGATCCCGGGAGCGGGGTAGTGGAAAACGAAGATCAAGAATATACTTATTGACAGAATCATGTAGTGTCTATAAAATAAAAACAACTGAGTGAGAATTGGAAAAATGTACTCAGTGCATTAATTTCATGTTTTGGCCTCCAGTGCCTTATCTTTTGGCCTACAGTTCAGATGTCTTAAAAGCAAAACAAATTGTTAAGTTTGTGTAGACAGTTTTACAAAGGTAAATGAATATTCACCATAAGAGAAAGGCAGGAACTAATGTACGGAATGTTACATTAGGCAAGCTTATTTTGACTTAAGAGAACTGTCAGAAATGATGTGTCAATAATTTACCATGTTTTTTGTGAATAATGTTGAAGTTGATTAAATCAGTGATACATTTGTTTAGCCAATGAATTTTAAGGCAATGACTTTACAGTTGTGTTTGCTACGGTGCTTTGTACACTTCTAAGTGGTCAAAATTTATTTGCTTAATTTGAAGATAACAAAGGGAAAATTTGCACGTTCAGGGGAACAATTGCTTACTGTTTTTGATAAGCTTATTAATGTGTGGTAGAAATGTACATTAATTCATTTATATGCTATTAAAATTGAAGCATTTGTAAATTTTTAAATATATAATTGCTAGAAGATGGGTTTGAAATGGTGGTATTAGATTGTGTACATCCTAGAATTTTAAAAATTTATTGGTACATTTTAGGTATACAAAATGATCACATTCATCATAAGAAATGTGTTCCTAAAGGTGATATATCTTGTCCCCCTCCTCAGAATTGCTAAATGTATGATCTTTAACAAAAAAAAAAAGAAATATTTTTTCTTACCACAATTTAACAAGAAAAACATATTTTGCATATTTATAGCTTATAAGATAAATTTCTTGGCAAGAACTGTTGTCAATTTGTCCTGTACTCTTGTGATCATTAGATCTTTGGTCATGGATTAATGATTATACATGGGTTTAATATGGGCATCCCCAGGCTCCTGGAACTGAGTAGTGCACTTCCTCACTGCGACCACACGAGGACAGTATAAGCCATGATTTCAGTTAAAAGCCTTAGGTGTGGAGCTATTTCTGTATTCCCTTGGCACACAAGGCCAAGAACAGCCATTTGTTCAGAGGTAGATAAAACGTGTCTAAATTGTAAAAATTCGTGAAGGGGAGTCATCCGTCTCCTCTTTCTTTTTCCTTTTTCCTTGGCTGGCACTTCATTCATCCTTCCGCACGTTGGCATTCATGATCTTTTCCCTCATTCTTAAATTGGGAAATGTTTGATATCTTTATATTTTTCTTCCATACTAATGCTTTATACAAATTCTTTATTTCCCCAGCGATTGCACCTGAAGTCTTTCTCCCTTCTGTGTACATTCTGTTTTGATATATGCAAAATAGGCCTGTATAGGCTGATCACGTTTTTTGAGATAGTCCTGTTCTTGGCTGATTCTGTTTGGAGATATACAAATGGGCCTGTTTTATGGCTAATCCTGGAGGCACAAGATTTTTAAATTAAGGTGTACTGTAGCAGACTCTTTGTTTCCTGTGACCTTTCGTCTGATTTTTATTTTTCATCCTTTTTTTCTAAGACTTTCATATGTTTGAAGAACCCTTTGTCTTTCTTTTTGTATTTGTACATCGCAGAAGGCTCCCCTGAAGCAGAACAGTTTGGTCTTCTTGGAGTGTTCTCCTGCTTTCCGTGAAGCATCTTTACCTATTTAGCTGTGCAGACCTGAAACTTGGGCACCTTCCTTCTGAGTTTCCTTTTCTTTGTACTTTTGGTGTAGTCAGTCATCCAGTCCTGTTCATTTTACTTTTGCCAGAACTCCAGCCTGTGTGGCCGTCACCCTTCACTTAGCTTTCTAAGCAGTTTTCCTGCTTCTCCTTGTGCCCTCCAGTTCATACAGCACTCTGATCTTTTGTGAGGAAAAATCTCTCCTCAACTCTGCTTACAACCGTTTCCTGACTTTTCATTTTTTCTAGAATAAGGGAAAAATCCTTAACATGACCTAAAGAGCACCACCAAGTCTGGCTCCTCTGATTTCTAGTTAATCCTTTGTCACATATTCCTCCACTTTGATCTTTCCCTGCCTCTTTGGATGCATCCTGTGCCCTCTTACCACAGGACCTTTGCACACATAATTCTGTTATCCAGAATTCTTCTTACTCCTCATTCCATTCTTTTAACTTCTCTGCTGTTGGCTCTCAGCTCAGTTACACTGTTTTTTGCTTGTTTCCAAGGAAGCCTTCTTTGACCTTTCCAATTTGATCTCTTCTTTCTCTGTACACTATCATAGTGGTTCATATATTTGGTAAGGGTATTGTATATGTGTATATATACATACACACACATATACATATGTGCACCACATACATACACTTTTTTTTTGAGACTAGGTTTTGCTTTGTAGTTCAGGCTGAATTTGAAGTCACTATGTAGCCCAGGCTAGGCTTGAATTTATGATGATTGTCCTGCCTCTGCCTCCAGAGGGCTGAGATCATAGGCGTGCAGCACCTCGCCCAGTTTCCATGTATGTTTTAATGTTCTAAATTAATACATTGAAATTATATGTAAGACATTAATGTCTGGTGAATTCAGTTTAGAATGATGCATTTCCTATAGCCTGGTGACTCTGGACAAAGGGATAAAGTCAGTTCTTACGCTTGTGAAGTAGTGGGCCAGATTCTGCATCTGCTGTGACAGCACAAATAATATTTGTGAAACTTCGAGTGCTTTCATGCTTTTCTTCTCTTTCTCAGAAACAGTGGTGATTAGGTGGTGGCCTCATAAGCTAAGACATTAATAGCTTTCTAGCCCCAGGTAGTTTATAATTTCTCTACGCCCAGTAAAGAACAGGGAACAGGATGGATGAACATGATCAAAATACAGTATATATACTAAAGCTCTGTGTGGAATTAGGAGGGGGGACAGAGGAAGTGATGGAGGATGATTAAAGTACGTTATGTGCGTGTGCAGATCTGCCCAGATAAAGCCTATTAATCACAGATATGCACTAATAAAAAATATGGGAGACAAAAGAACAGAGTAGTGCTTTTGGTGGAATAACATTGCAGAGATAGAGCTCATAGTATAATGGAATCCAAGTTATTGTTGTGAATTAACTGTGAGTAAATGAAATTGTGTTAATTGGGAAAGTAGGAACCAGAATATTGACAAAATACAGCAATTGGTGAAGCTGGGTAAAAATAATAGTGAAATGTACGTAAATACAAACTTTCCTGTACCTACAGAATGGGTAAAATTCAAATGATACAAAAGAGTTCATGATAAAAGGCAACTTTCCCTTCTGTCTTTGATCCTAGCTAAATGACTGACTTCCTGGGAGCAAGCAATGTGTTTTTTCCAGAAGTGTGGTGTATGTGTTTGTGTGTTGGAAAGAAAGATACTGAAATTTGTTTACTTCTTTATTTTTAAATTTTTGTTTTCCCTTTTTGAGGCAGGGTTTTACTGTGCAGTTCATGCTGGCCTTGACCTCACTGTGTAGCCTTGGCTAGCCTTGAACTCGTGATTCTCTTGCCTCAGCCTCCTGAGTGCTGGGATTACAGGCATGCACCCAATGGCTGGCAGAGATTTCTTGGTTTGGATGAGCATGTAGAATGTTTGGAGCTTTGCTAGCACAAATTGATACAATGACTATCCCTGTACCTACAGAATTGTGCACAGGAGAGTGAGTCTGTCTTTAGAATAAAGCAGTAGAAGCAGGAGTGCTGGGTCAGAGGACACACACCATTTAAATTTTGATAGGTATCAAGCTGTACTTCATTGAGGCCATGCGTGTTCCTATTCTGTGGAAGAATGCTGATAGCTTCCTTGTTCCCTGTTCCTTTGGTAATGGAGTGAGTTATTAAGCCTTTTAAAAAAAAATGTCAGTTTAATAGAGTATTTTAAAAACACTTTTTAAAATATGAGAGCCATGATTGTTTCTTTTGTAGTATTTTGTTCATTTTCTATTAAGATTTTATATTGTTTATTAGGAACTTGCGTTATAAAGAAAATTAGTTTTTAATCTTTGACATATGTTGTAGAGATTTTCATGGTCTTTTTGTGTCCTTTGGCCTTGTACATGTAGGGTATATTTTTTCCACAAAAATTTAAAAAATACTTTGCAGTTAGAATGATCAGATTCTAAGGTTCTGTGTGATAAGAAAGGAAGAAAGGCTTTCCCTATTTAATATTATTTCTAGTTAAAACTAAAGTTAGTATTCTTGTGACTTTTTCTTGGTACTTAGTTTTATTTTGATATAAGTATAATCATCCATACAGATATAAGTTGAATAAAATATTGGAATAGGAATCCAACTTTTTTTTTTTAATGGATAGCTACTCAGTTACCCCAGTATCCTTTATTAGTTTTTTGTTTTGTTTTTTTTTCCTGCTTGTTTGCTTG